TATTTATTTTAAAGATGTAATACGCTTTTTCGAAATATATGGTTAATAATATATGGTTAATAATATGGATATAGTCACAGGTGGACATATACATCTACAGCCCAGCTAAAAGAAAAATACATAATAATTTTATTCATGATTATTGGAGACCAATAAGTGCCTGTGATGATAAGCATAAATTGGTTTAAATCGACCCACTCAAACATAGCCTTTTTAAACCATGAAATGGCTGAAAGTCAGGTGGGCATATTGTGTATTTTGCTTATAGCTGGGCTGTACATACAGCCACAGCCCAGTTAAAAGCAAAATACACAATAATTTTATTAATGGTTATTGGAGGCTAATAAGTGCATGTGATGATAAGCATAAATTGGTTTAAATCGACTCACTCAAACATAGCCTTTTTAAACCATGAAATGGCTGAAAATAGTGATTTTTCGAAAACATGAATTTTTATTATATTTTTTTGAACTCTTAGCCAATATTATTTGAAAATGTTTTCATTGCTTTTATATAGAGTAAGATCTATGGTAACAAACTACATTAAAAAAAATTTGCTGGCAAGTTGTTCTAAGAATATATGAATTTATAAAATTAGACAATTTTGCCAAAAAATTGCATTTTTAAAAAAATTCCCAAAGACCATTTAGGGCATCAATAACTAAATGTGTCCTATATGGTTTAAAAGAGAAATATTTTCTTAACAATTAACAGTTTGTTTAATGCCGATAGCTTTATTAGCAAAAAAAGTACAATTTTTTAAAGTTAGGTCTGCATAGTAACTTTTGCGTAGCCCTGTATAAATAGGTGATAGGGGGAGAAAAGAAAAGGGGAGTTTTTTTCACTTCTTGGGTCCATGTCTATTTACAGTTAAAAAATAAATAAAATTAGAGTACATGAGGTGCACTCATTGGTTGCTAATAAATGGAATTACCCATAGGACTAATTAGTTTATCAAAACTTGACAGTAAAATTTACTAAATGCCTTATATCTTCTAAACTATACATTTTATTGCATTAAAGCATAAAACTATTTTTGTAGGAAATTAAATTTCCGATAAAAATATTTCTTACTTTTTACCTCTACCTTTAACCGTTTTGCCGTAAAATAACATAAGACTAATTGAATGGTGTTATGCAACAGGGAACCAACCCTCACTGTTGCAAAACTAAGATAATAGCGTCCGAAAAATTACGTGGTTCCTTCATTACTGTGATCTTAATTAAAGATTCAACGTTTTAATTTTATTTCCAAATCGCTAATTTAGTACTAAATTTTTATTTCTTATATTTTTTTCATTATTTTCAATAAAATAAGTAAATTTGTTGGTTGGTCCCTTGTAGAATAAATAAAACTGATAGTTATTGCCTATAGTTTGATTATAACCTGGAAACCATCATTTGGAATAAGTTGATAAATAGATTTTAAATCTTTAAATTTTAGCTTTGAGATCCTTCTGATCTTCTCTTATTTTTTTTGGAAATATTGATTTTGTCATAGAAATCCATTGGTTCACTTTTTTCCAACATTATTTTTTTCAACTTAAACCAGATCCAAGTAGCATGGATTCTTGTTGCAGTATAAATATATTGCGTTTAGTCAAAACTTGACTCAAAAGTAACGTTAACCAAGCCGCTTGGCGCTGTATAACCTTTCACAATTTCAATATATAAGAGAAAGTTTGCACAACCATGCAGCTTAAAGCTTTGTTGAGATTTAAAAACTTTGATTGTAGAGTTCTATATTATTTTGAATATTTTAATTCAGTATTTTTCCGCATGTTCTATTTCTTTACATGGCCCCATCACGTTAATACATTTATCCCGCATTTTTTATTATGAGGGAGATGGTTCCCTGTTGTATAACACCATTCAATTAGTTTATCAAAATTTGTCAGTAAAATTTATTAAATGCTTTATATCTTTATATCGTTTTATTGTATTATTGCATAAAACTATGTTTGTCAAAAACTAAATTTCCTATACAAATATTTTTTAATTTTTACCTCTACCTTTAACCGTTTTGACGTAAAACAACATAGGACCAATACAATTTATTAAATGCTTTATATCTTTTAAACTATGCATTTTATTGTATTAATGTATAAAACTATTTTTGTTGAAAATTAAATTTTCTATAAAAGTATTTTTTACTTTTTACCTATAAACTTAATCTGAACCTGAATATATTAATTGTAGTAAAGTTGTTGCAAGTACTTTAAAAGAGCACCTATGTAAATTGTAGTAACGTAAAATGTCGCCAAGCTATTGGAAATTAAAAAAGATATCCTTAATTTCCTATTTATTATTTCAATGGGAAAACTTTAAAATCAAAATTAAAATACTTGGGGGTTAGATTAAGGGCTGGAACTTTAAGGCCATTTTTTTTCTCGATGTGTACATCAATGTTTTGTTTGTGGAGTTTCTTTAAAACGAATATAATCAAAAAAATATTATTGGTGTCATTTTGTTTTTGTCAAATAATTCGCGATTCTTTTAGTTTACGTAAAACTCCAAAAGCAAAGTTGTAGAGAATAAAATTTACCACAATTTGGTTTTTCTCAGGTAGATAAAAAGTAGATTGCTACCTTCGAAAATCGGATTTGCTAAATTAACAATTTATTAATAATTTTATTACCTTATTGTTGTGTAGATGTTCTAGTTATGCAAATTTTGCTACTATGAAAATTCTAAAAAGTCGGAAATTCCCCTCATTATCGCCTGAACAAAATTTCTTGAATTTATTGGGGCCTTAGTGGCGCTTTGTACCTGATTATTATTTCCTATTTTTATTGTTCCAGGAATTCAAGCATTTTAGGTAAATTAGATTAATCCTTGTTTATTTTATTTTATCCTACAGTGTGTTTTGATTTTGTTTCATTTAAAAAGTTTTGTTTTGGTAATTTCCATGAAAACACATCTTAGAATAATGAAAACACATTTTAGAGTGTCAAACCCAAATTTAGAATTCCAAAAACATTTTAACTCAGTTTGGAGTGTTAAAATTTTAGGTTCAAAATTTATTTTATGCCAAAAACTAAATTTAGAATGTCAAAAACATTTTAAAATGTTGACAAATTTATTAACGCTAAACTTTTTAAGAAAATACACTTCTTCAAAAGTTGAAAGTTGAAAACACATTTTGTAGTGTATTATGTTCAAAATTTATTTTATGCCAAAATCAAAATTTAGAATGTCAAAAATAATTTAAAATATTGACCAATTTATATTAATGCAAAACTTTAAGAAAATACACATCTTAAAATGTTGAAAACACAATAATTATTTAGATGGTCAAAACCTATTTTATGACCAAACAAATTTTAGAATGTCAAATCAAAATAATGTTTGATTCCAAAAACATCTTAAAATGTTGAAAACGCAATTTATATGGTCAAAAATATCATGTTCAAAACCTATTCTATGGCCAAACAAATTTTAGAATGTCAAATTAAAATTTAGAATGTCAAAAACAATGTTAAAATGTTGAAAACACAATAATTATTTAGATGGTCAAAAATATGTTCAAAACCTATTTTATGACCAAACAAATTTTATAACGTCATTATTATTAATTATTATTATTAAATATCCTGATATATATATCAATATTTGTTTTTCCAAAATTCTATTTATCAGTAAGTATAAATGTATGGAAAACTAGTATTCTTGTTTAAATATTTGCGCAACAGAGACCATTTAAAGAAACGTGATCTTGATTGGGTTTGGCTGGAGCAACAGAAACATTTTACAAATGAAAATGAAGATTCAGATTCGGATCTGGATCTACCATTAGCCAGACTGATTTCATCCTAACTTACTTGTTTGAAACAAGTTGTTTCTAGCCAGCCTTTTTTACTCCTTTTATTGCTTTTTTATTTTATTTTAGTTGTTGTTTTCTATTGGCTGTTGTAGTTTTTCAATTTCTTGTTTTTAGTTGGAAAATCAAAAATATATAATGTTTTTATATTCATAAACTTGTATTTTTTACCTACATTTTACATTTCTATACATACTAGTACTAAAAAACTTGTTATTGTGATAGCAATTGAAATACAAATTTACATGTTTATAAAATTTTAAAATTAAAATAAATAAATATCCAAATTTTGATATATCGATATATATCAGATATTTGGATATTTATATAAATATCATGATATTTGCCAGCCCTGAATCAAAATAGTGTTTAAAACAAAATTTAAAATGTCGTGAACATTTTAAAATGTTGACAAAACAAAATTTGAAAAGTGAAAAATAATTTAGAATTTTAATAAATTTATTTAAGAAAGTGCACATCTCAAAATGTTGAAAACACAATTTAGATGGTCTAAAAATATTATGTTCAAAACCTATTCAAATCAAATCAAAATATACAAAATTTAGAACAAAATTTAGAACGTCTAAAACATTTTAAAATATTGACAAGTTTATTAATGCTAAACTTTTTAAGAAAATACACCTTGAAAAGTTGAAAGTTGACACATTTTGAAGTGTCAAAATATTAGGTACAAAATTTATTTTATGCCAAAAACAAAATTTAGAATGTCAAAAATAATTTAGAATGTTAACAAATTTGTTTCAAAACGTTGAAAACACAATTTAGATGGTCTAAAAATATCATGTTAAAAACCTATTTTATGACCAAACAAATTTTAGAATGTCAAATCAAAATAATGTTGAAAACAAAATTTCGAATGTCAAAAACATTTTAAAATGTTGACAAATTTATTAATGTTAAACTTAAAAAAATACACATCTTAAAATGTTGAAAACACATTTTGGAGTGTCAAAATATTAATATTAAGTTCCAGATTTTATTTTATGTCAAAAACAAAATTTAGAATGTCAAGAACTATTTAGAATGTCAACAAATTTATGTAAGTTTAACTTTATAAAAAGACATATCTTAGAACGTTGAAAACACGATTGTCAAAAATGTCAAAGTCAAAAACTTGTTTATAATACATACATAACGTATAATAACAAAACAATTTTAGGTAAAGGTCGTCAAAAGACAAGACGAATCCGAGGAAGAAGACAACCTGCCGCCCCCGTCGCCGCCCCCGGGCTCGCCGCCCCCGCACCTTTACCCCCCTCGCGTCAAAACCCACACGATCAACAACATACACCCGCAGCAGCAATTCGTTGCCAACATGTCAGGAGGCGGCGCAGTCGCGCCGCCATACGCCGCCTCCGCTGCTTTGTACGCTAGAGCGCCGCCGCCGGTCGGCATCGGCATGGCTCTGCCGCCGCCCCCGCCTCCCCAAGTCGTTCACGCGCACGCGCCCCCCCACGTTTACCAGACGCCGCCACCGCCGCCCATGGGGCAGATCAACATCTACGGCGCGCCGCCCAGACCCCCTCCAGGTCAGTATCTTCAAGTACAAGAAAGAAGAAAAAAAACGAGGTTCAATATATTTTTTTTATTTAAAAAGAGTCAAAAATAATAAAAACGCAAATAAAGCAACAAAAATGGAAAAAGAAATAAAAAAAAGAAAGAATGAAATAAAAAATTAAAAATAAAAAAGAATCAAAAGAAAAGACCACAAAAAAAAAATAAAAAAAAAAAATAAATAAAAAACTTTTTGGTTTCTAACGTGTCCTATTTTTGTTTTAGGTGGGAGTCCCTGGACATAATTGTGTAAAATATTGTGTACTTGTATTAAATTTTATATAATTAATAATTGTTTTTATTATTTGAAATTGTATTCGCAGTTATTGCGAAGTATCGATTTTTATTGTATAAAAATGTAATTCTCTATTACCTATACCAATAGGTTTATTTGAAGGAGTTTAATTTGAAAAATAAAATATTTTTACATATGGTTAATGAGTTTCTTTTTATTATTATTTTCCTTATCTGTAACATTATCTTCGACATACGTAAGCTGTATGCATAAAATAAGTTAAGCAGAAAACAGGTAAAAATATATAGTTTGTTAAGAATTTTTAACGTTTTTAAAAATATGTATAAAATAAAAAAAATTAAGAAAATAAAAAGTTCATGCCACCATTTTACCGTTGCAAAGCAAAAAATTGACTAAAAACATTAAATAAAATATATTTTGTGGCCCATTAGAAGTTTCTAGGAACGGAAAAAGATATCGTTTTGAAATTTTAATAGTGTTTATAATCTATTTAAGTCAATTTTTTTTAAATTGACGTGACGTGACATAAACTTTGTTATTTCAAAAAGAACACCCCATCAGGGGCGGACATATGACCAGGCAGTTCGGTGCGGTGCCCGGGGGCCCTGATGATGTAGGAGCCCCCAGGCATAAAAAATAATATAATAATATTATATTATTATAGATACAGTGTATGGTACCATTGCACACCTACTAATATTTATTTAAAGAGTATTTTTACGCTATATACACGGACACCGCAGTGCAAAACCCAAATGATGCTCAAAGAGGGCAAAATATCACCACTTTCTTTCAAGGAGCTTGGATACTGAGTCAATCCATATGAAAACGCCGAAACTCGTTGCTCGATCGACCATCTTGAATTTTGCTCAAATTTTATAGAAATATTCATTACGGTCCCAAAGGACAAAATCCACCCTTATTTAATTTTTCGCATGTGTCAAATGCGGCCTATTCGAATTAAAACTTAAAAAAAAACGTCATTTTTATGCTTTCCCTTGCGGCCTTGAGTTTACGGTGAAGTCACCGTAAATTCACCGTTTGCGTGAATTCACCGTGAATACACCGTTTATGTGCAGTGAATATACCGTCCATTAACAAATTTGTGACATTTGTAGACGGTACTCACGCTGTTTTTGCGATAAATTCACGGTGATTTCACTGTGAATTCATGGTGAACTCAAGGCCGCAAGGGTTAATAATTTAAGCTGTAATTTTTTTATATTAAAGATATTTTAAATTTTAAGATGTCATTTTAAAGCTAAAATATAGTAGTTTTTATAAAAAAAATATAAATTCACTCAATCAATATTTCTAAATAATTACACGGTGCTAAAAAAAACGTGTATTTTACTAATTTTTCGTGTCTTTTAAATGCGTCCCATGTCTCGGCTGTTTAATATAAAAAGCTAATTTTTTCATTTATAAAGTTTACATACCAAAGACAAAATAAAACTTACAATTGGCCCGTTTGGCATACGGTTTCCAAACAAAAAAATTGCTTGAAATTTTGAAATTCTAGAAAATCGCATTATTTAGGCCGTTATATGAGGACGTTGACTTCCAAATAGAATTATGAAATTTACAGGATAATTAGCCCCTACCTTATTGTTCAAATGCCTGGTAGTTTGGTTTTGTTATTTTCATCTTTGAAGCTTATACAGTAGCTTTAAAAGGATAAAAATATTGAAATAATAAAAAGTCGCATTATTTCATCCATTTTATTTTAAGTATGTTGACTTCAATATAGAAATATGAAATTAACAGGATATTTAGTCCTCACCTTAAAGTTTAAATGCCTATTTAACTTGTTTTGATGGCATATTGAAATTTAAAAAACGATTAATGTTTAATTTTCTATTCTAAGAATGTGTTGACTTATAGGATATTTAGTACTTACAGTAGTAGTAGTAGTAGTAGTAGTAGTAGTACACCATAGTGTTTGGCTTATGCATGCCTATGCATATTTATGTAGGTACTTAAGTATATGTAGGTACTTAAGTATATGTCTTTTGCGATTTTTTTAAATTTTATTATTTTTTTGCTGTTTTTAAAGCATCTGTACAATCACAAAAAAAATAAAAAAAAGGTTTTAAACTTTGCGATGGACTTTCCTGTAAGTTTTATATTTCTATGTAGAAGTTAACATTTATATGATTTAAGGATAAAATGATGCGTTTTTTAATTTTCCACGTGTTAGCCTTTTTTAAAGCCTTTTTATTATTTTAATATTTTTCTCCAAAAAGCTACTGTATAACCTTCAAAGATGAAAATAACAAAACCAAACTACCAGGCATTTGGACATTAAGGTAGGGGCTAATAATTAGCTAATAATAATAATTATTATTATCCTGTAAATTTCATAATTCTATTTGGAAGTCAACATCCTTATATAATGGACTAAATATTGAGATTTTCAGCAATTTTTTTGTTTGGAAACCGTATGCCAAACGGGCCAATTGTAAGTTTTATTTTGTCTTTGGTATGTAAACTATATGAAAAAAATTTGCTGTTTATATTAAACAGCCGATACATGGGACGCATTTAAAAAACACGAAAAATTAGTAAAATAGGTACACGTTTTTTCAGTGTAATTATTTAGAAATATTGATTGAGTGAATTTATATTTTTTTTATAAAAACTACTATTTTTTAGCTATAAAAAAAATTACAGCTTAAATTATTAAAGTATAAAAATTACGTTTTTAAAAAGTTTTAATTCGATTAGGCCGGATTTGACACATGCAAAAAATAAATAAGGGTGGATTTTGTCCTTTGAGACCCTATTGAATATTTCTATAAAATTTAAATTGATCAAAATCCAAGATGGTCGAGCAACGAGTTTCGGCGTTTTCATATGGATTGACTCTACCTACTGTAAAAATACGGTATATAGATTTCTGGTATTCTCATGTATTGTAAAAGAAACTTTTGATTTTTTGGAATCGCCGTATTTAATAATAAGCTCAATTTTTTTACAAAGATGTGAAGAATTGACTAGGAAATATGTTGCTTAAAGGAATGAAACATCACCTTAAAGACGATACCTATAGGCTATAGGTACATATATATATAAAATGTTAAAAAATCGTATGAGTGAGCAGCGATTGAGTGATTCCACTCAAGTTCCAAGAAGGGCGTTATAAAAACATACTTATGTGAGTTCTTTCCTTTGGTAATTAAAAAAAACTGTATTTTCTATTATTTTTTCTATTTTTCTTGTAAAGTAATTTTAAAAAGGAGAAGTTTCTCAAAGGTATACTGTATACAGTGGCCACAAGTTTGCACCGAGGCCACTTTTGCTTGGATCCGCCACGGCACCCCATATATTTTTACATTCTTTAAAATTCTGGGTAAAATGACTAAATCTTATACCTAAATTAAATAGTTTTTGAGTTATTAATTTTTTTCGTTAAAATTTGAGAAATGCGCGTCAATTAAAAATAACCTATAACTTTTTTTATTAGGTTTGCGAATATGGGGGTGGAATTTTTGATATCTTAAAACATTGTTTAAAAGATTCCTTATCAATTCTTTAACATTTTTTAACAAATTACCTAAGAATGTGAAACACCCTGTATACTTTTCTTTACTTTTCATATGTACATATTCACAAAATAATCAATTAAGAACAGGGACCCGGACCGAAACCGAAAAAAACCGAAAACCGGAACGGAACCGGTTTTTTTTCCGAACCGAAACCCGAACCGGAACCGTTTTCGCTTTTGATAAAATCTGTTGGACCGGAACCGAAACCTTTATTTGCTTTTCGGTTGAAGATGAAGCAAATAATATAAATATTAAAAAAATACAACAACATTCTTTAGATAACTTTATTATAAAAAAAGTAAATAAATAAAATACTTATTATAATGTTGAATGTTAATTATTTAATTAAAAATAAAAATCGATTCAAAAGGTATACGCTAAAATAAATTGAAATTTTCATCAATGAAGTCATCATGGTGGAAATTTTATGCTATATCCTTGGACATTGTTGATGAGATATAAATATATATATATATATATATATATATATATATATATATGAGGTTATAGATTAAAATTACGTAAAACAAATAACCTCACTGGAACCGCTTAAAACCGAAAAGAACCGAACCGTTATAACTCCACGAAACCGAAACCGGAATCGGAACCATTAAAACGAAAATAGAGTGAACCAAAACCGTACCGGAACCGATATTTCATTTCGGTCCGGGTCCCTGATTAAGAATCTATATATTGTAGATTTACAATAAAAACATTTAAAAAATTGTATAGTTCTGAAATTCTATTAAATCTAAAAATAATAAATATAAAAAAATCACGAGTATTTTTGAGTACCTAACTAATAGTTACTAACTATGGTTAGAAATGTTTGACAGACGCATTCTATGATTGGTGTATAATGAAATCGGCCAATAACTGACACTAATTACTAGTCCATAATGATTTATTATGTGCAGGGCCATAATTAATCACTTAATAATTTTTTTTAATAAAATAGAAATAAAAAATTTTACTGAAAAAAGAAAAAACAGTACAATTTAATTATTAACTATTACTTGGAACCTGCAAAAAGCCCATCGCGTATAATTATTCAAATCTCTATCAACAGGTAATAAAAACAATAAAATATTCGAAATTATGAATTTACCTGCAAAAATATTTTATTTTCAATGCGAGTATAATCCCTATGTGAGGTAGGGATGAAACCGATATAAAACACAGAAAATTCATAGATCAAATCATACCAAAACAAAACATCCACCAAACAACAACAACAAAGTGTTAAGTGACAAATAAGGGTTTGTTGTGTTTTTAAAGCATGTTTGTATGACACTTTATATCAGCGTCATATTGCATGCTTTCAACTCAAAGCAATCTAAGTCGTCGATGGAAAAAAACAACTACAAATCCGGTAAGTAGATTGATTTGATTATAATAATATTGATATATAATAATTACTAAGTGGTAGGTACTTGTGGATCTTTTATACTCATTCGTCATCATTGTAGTGCTATGATTGTAGCGTGGTACCTGTGGTTCTATAGATGCATAGTACTGTAGTACTGCATGTACTGCGCTACAAACACAGTATAACATCACGGTATAAAGTTAAGTTCGACTGTTCCTCGGTACTCTTAGTACAACTGTATTCAACAAGTAGTACGAGTAGTACT